ATCATCACCATCATGAATTATCATTATCATTCATTGATCATTATCAGGTATCATTACCGTCATCTTGTATCATCATAAATTTTTGCCTCGAAAACAAAAAAGACTGCAACCGCAAAAGCAATTACAGCTGATGTCATTTGATTACTCTTACCTTGTTTCCCCCCACAGATATTACTATTCCAATTGACAACCAGAAAGACTTTTTCATAATCAGAAACCCTATGCAGTACAACACATTACCAAGAGCTCGAAAGCTTACAGATCCTCTTCCAGCAACCCCTATTCCAGACAGATCCAGAACACCAGATTTTCGGCTGACCCACAGAACGACTAGTACCGCAGATCCTAGCGTCACTAAGACTGCTCAGTTTCTCTCCGAGATCAGTAAGACTTTACACGCCCCAGTCTTCCAAGATTTAACAAGACGCAATAGAAGCTTCACGGATGCTGATAGTGATGGTGTTTTCTTTGAGAATTTTCCTGCCAAGGTGTTAGTGGTGAATATGGTAGACGGCAGAGAGGAGAATTCGAAGCCCATAAATAAGAGTGCGCAGTCTATTTATGAAGATCTTAGCGAGGCGAACAAACAAAGCAGAATATCTGTTTATGAACCTTTGGAGAAAGCCACACTTCAGGTAAACGTTTGTTGAAAAAAATCCTAGGTCTAAAATCTCTAGCTGAGAGAACGTGTTGCTTAAGGATAAATGCACTACACCAAACAAAAAGTAATAAAAAAAAAAGAATGATCAGCCTTATTTAGAGAGGGTGACACGTTACAGTCGGCGCAACTGATAAACTTGTGGCCCTCTATTTTTAACTTCTCTGAATAAGACGAGACTGTCATTTTACGTCCAAGCCACGGCGAAGGTCTAACCAGATATTTTTAGAGCAAAGACAGGACCTTCTATACTTTAATATTTTTGGTCCGGCCAAGGCTTGAATTCTCGACCTCCCGCATAAYAGACCGGTACCTAACCAACTGAGGCAACAGGGAGAAGTACCGTTCCGTGCCATGTCTTGGCGTGCTGTATCTTTAAAGTTACCATGCATAGCGCAGATTTCTTATGGTTGTGAAAATGCATAGTCACAGTACAGAATCGCATTAACAACAACCTTTTAACCAATCACAGCTCGCGAMATTACTGTCTAACCAATAGAAATGCCCGGAGGAAGAACCCAATGATCAACGCACGGCACGCGTCCGTACGTTCTGTGAGTTATTCAAAGTCATACAAAATTCGCTCCAAGAAARCACTCTCAACATTCAATCAACATTCAGTGCGCAGGTTCAACTGAAAAAACTTTCTTTAAAATATTTAGCCTCCCGATGTAAGAAAAACAACACTGGAAAGAATCAACGACACTAAAGAAAATGCGAACCAACAGATAGTGTTTTCAGAAGAATATTCAGGTAATGTTTGACGATCTAGAGTTACTTTCCTACGAGGTACAGTAAAACYTTTGAACCGCGAATTATCTATGTATTTTATTATTTTGCAGCTGTACCTGAGTATTACGTCCTTGAGCCCTCGATTGAACACGAAACGCATGGTCATGAAAACTCTCCCACAAACGACCAAATTGGTTYAGAGAAACTCTATCTAGACAACGAAGATAACTCGGGAACCTTACCCGTTGGTGCAGATTTAAAGATCCCCTACTCATCTCCTATGACCGGACACCTCGTTCAGGAAGGACCAAATGAAGATAGGGACCAAGGCTTTGCTAATCAGGGACATGAATGTGATCTTGAGTCTATTGACAACAAAGACAACTCAGGAACGTTATCGATCGGTACTGATATAAAGGGCCCCTATTCATCTCCGATGACAGGACACCTCGTTCAGAAAGGACCAAATGAAGAATGGGACCAAGGCTTTTCTAATAAGGGACTTGAACATGATGATAAGTCTATTTTKGATAAGAAAAGTTTCCAAGCTTCGGAGAAAATATTTAAAGACAATCAAAGCAATGGATTAAGTGAATCGAAAGATGGCTGCGTCTCACATGGACTCAGCCATCGTCGTGGAAGAACTTCAGAAGAAATAATTTTGAGACCAAGAGCTAAAAGTTCGGAGTTTTAAGTAGCTATCAAGTTCGCTAGATCAGTTTTATTAGCCATTCCGAGGTTGATGGAAAAACTGGGTCGAGCTGATGGCATTGCAGTGAGTCTGTTTTAGTTGACATGTTTCCAAGATGGCGTCTATTATGTTCCCTAAATCAGCCCCAAAATGCACTGCAATGACAATTCAACTCGGCTTTTCCCTGCAATTAACCTCGGAATGGCTAATAAGTAGATCTGAATTCTGCGCTTCCCTTATTACGTCTTCATACCATGCGCTACTACCACAATCATCTCCCTTTTTTCTTTTCTTATTCAAATGTTTTAGGATTCTGGAGAATTCACAAAGAGGATATTTTCTATTGAAATCAGAATCGAAAGGAAAACTATGAAACCGACTACATGAGTATTTGTTAAGAAAAATGGTCTTTTTGCCTCCCGCCTGAATACATTGGTTGCCCTTTCTAGACCACGTACYGTTCCCTTTGGGTATATAGTTTCTTAAACTTTAAAGCTTGTGGACATACGTTATATGACATGCCGGCCTCTCGGGGAAGCGTTGGTGCCATTTAACAAAAGATTTCTTATTAGCATCCATTGTTAACGGCACCACAATGGCCGACGTTTTTGTCTTTTTGACTTTCTTGGGAAAGCTTGCAACCCATCAATTGAATAGTTAATTGGACTGATTAAATAGAAAGAAATTTGGCTAAAAATATGTCCCCTTGATATACAGTAAATATGTACATAACGCTGGAAAACTAAGACACACTAATGCATATAGATACATCTCCAAAGACCTGTTGGTCATTCAGTATAAACAAAGCCTTCTTCATTTGATTTCACTTGAATACCCATTTATAGAGAGAAAATATCTCAAAATTTTTTCCACTTTTATGATACTGCTTTTTTAACGGTGGAAAGTTGGTGACAACTTAGACCGAATAAGAACATGGAGAGAATATTGGTGCCATGCAACAGGTCCGTATAGAAAAATCGAAGCTTAATAAAAGTCGTTGAATCTCATTATCTGCTCCAAATGCTCTGCTCCAGCCTGCCAATACATTATTGCCTTTCTTGACCACGTGTCATTCCCTTTGAGTACATAGTTTCTGACTTCAACTGTGAAGATAAATTACTAAACTAGAGCCATCAAATAGGTAGAATTTTTGCAAAAATTATATGTCCTTAACATACAATAAATGGTCTAATTCTATACGAGAAAAGTTACAACAAAACTCGATAAAAAACCAGTCGGTCAACTTAGCATACAAAACACAAATATATTTATTTAATTGCATATATTTCCATTATATATCTCTCTTCATCTCTAACAAACACTAATGGCACTTAAGGCTAAGAGGTCTTATAAAAAATTCTAATCAACGTGTAGTAAAGGATCATTCATGTTTACAAAACAAAGCTTTCTTCATTCTAAATTCGCCTAAATACCTATTCTTTTATAGAGAAAAAAAGGTCTCAACATTGTTTTCCATGGTTATCATCGATACTTTTTTAACAGCGGAAAGATAAACAAGACTTAGAAACTGAGGATTAATTCGATAATTAGGAGGATTTGAATAGTTAAGTGTCATGGAGGAGATTCGCAAGCGCAGACCATTGCTCAAATTAAGGTGGTGGCATATTTAAATATTTTATAACTTCGGTTACGAACTATAATTGAAAAGATAAAACAATTATCACTTTCCTTCTTGTTTAAACAGCACAGCTCACAGCCCACAATTTATTTGGTATTCAGATTGCAGATCATCGACCGAAGTATACAGAAAATGGATAGTGATGCAACAGATCTAGAAAAAGTGCTTATTAGAGTGTAATATTTTTTCAAATAGCTGCTGAAAGTCTTTGAATCTCGTTGTCGGCTTCAAATCGGGTGGTCCGGCAAACACTGATCCCGCATGCTGTCAGCCAAAACTGAATAATTTTCAGGGGCGCCGGATCCAGGGATTTTGTTCAGGGAGGGGTGCTGCACACAATGTTAACCCAAGTGCAGAGACCAAATTGCCTTCAACTTTTTTCATGCCATGGAAACGGTTTCCATTCAGTTATTGTTCTTGTTGCTTAGCTTTGTATTTCACGATCTTGATTTTCTTGATTTGAGTTAGCGCTTTCAACTGATGTTCTTTTTCCTCTTTCTTAATATTATGATAATGATAATGATAATGATAATAATAATNACGGTGGAAAGTTGGTGACAACTTAGAACGAATACGAACATGGAGAGAATATTGATGCCATGCAACAGGTCCGTATAGAAAAATCGAAGCTTAATTGCTTGGTTTCATCGGTTCAGCTGCTAAAAGTTATTGAATCTCATTCTCTGCTCCAAATGCTCTGCTCAAGCCTGCCAATACATTATCCTTTCTATTCTTTTCTCTCAGACGATGACAATGTGATGATAATCCCGATCATAACCATTTTATATTATTTACCAAAGAAAACACAAAATAATGACAAATAATATTTATTCGCATTTTGATTAGTAYTGTTTTTCCAAATTAACAATTAACAAATTAAACATTTTTACTAACATAAAATATCTATAATTTTTACTCTAATTTCCACTGTCTTCTGCTCTAATTCCCTTAATTCACTTGAGGATAGAGATATGTTTTGATGTTAATAGTTTTCATTGTCTTGAACCCCATGGTAAATGTAAATAGTGAAGAGTTTACTCATATCATCYCATATTAACGAWTSAYAAAACTCCAGTGTAYRCTGGCTTATTCACAAATCCAGGGGTTGCTCGTTTCGTTATTCTGATTATAAATGTTAGTTGAGTTGAGTGTTGTGTGCATAGATCATTGAATATATTGGTAGTGCGTGCGAGTGAAAAGTGTCCCCAATTAGTGCGAAAGCRCTAGAACGACTAGACACTTAAATAAAAGATATTTATTATATAAATYTAGTAAAAATACACAGGTGATCATTGAAAATCTCGCGCGCTGATTGGTCGAGAAACTCACACTATCACACGATAATACCCTCCAGCGATAATCCAAAATGGCGGCCAGCCGCTTTGTTGCTGTTACCAGGAAAAAAATGTCTTTTATCTTCTTTTTTTTTTGTTTTTTTTTT